TTTAGAATAGAATAGCAAATTAGTGAATTTACTAGTACCTACTAATATTTGTTTCTCCTATACAGATTTGACTTTTATGAATGTAGGAGAAGCCTTTTGTAGTTGTCCCAAGAATTAATATTATAGTACTAATTAATTATATTTGGATTAATTTGATGGGTACTATTACTAGTAATTAATCTCAACATTGATGTTAAATTGCATAATTTTTTTTTTAAGGGAATTGGTAGATTGGGTTCAAGGCCACCAAAATGTGAGCACAAATGTGGGGATTGTGAGCCATGCATTGCTATTAAAGTGCCCACCACACAAATTGCAAACTATCAGCCTGAAGCCTGGGAATGCTACTGCCAAACAGCCCACAACAATCCATGACACCCCACATGATAAAAATAAAAAATTAAAAAAAAAATTCATGAAATTAATGTATGTTGTTGATTTTGATATCGAGTCAATGTGCAATACATTGTGTTTTGTTTAATGCATTACTAAGGACAACATTTGGGGTATTTTGGCTTGTATAATATATAATTATATTTGCTTTTTTCCTTTGAAATTCTGAGAATGTATCATGAAGTGTGTTTGTGATGTTAATTTCCTGTTGGGGATATAAAAAACTTGAAGCAGTGCATGGAATGGAATATGTATTTTGATTTATTTGGTTTAGCCAATTGTACAGTTGAGATTACTAGAACAGGTTTGTTTGAATTGAACAATGCAATTTACTTGGAATAGTAATTTACTTGAACAGGTTTGTTTGATCTGAACAATGTAATTTACTTGAAACAGTAATTTACTTGAAAAACATTGTAATTTACTAGAATTTGATCTATGTCCATATAAAAATGTTTAGCAGTTACTTGAAATAGTCTCTGTAATTTTGACTAAGGACTTTTTATTACTTAAATAAAATTATGTAGAATTTTTTTATTTTTTTCCTTTTTCCTTTTTTTCCCTTTTTATTTTTTTCTTTAAAAGCATGTTGATGCACGAAATTTGATCAACATAGGGGTTCAGACGAATTTTTGTATATTTATTTGTATTGGATTTTTTTAGTGATTTTTTATGAATTTCCGTATATAAGTAGCGAAGAAGATGAAGCCCGCAGCAGGAGGAAGAAGATTTCCTCTGCGGCACCGCCTCAAATCAGAGAGAAAATAATAATAGCGCCCCTCAGACTTATCTCGATGATGTCCATCATCGGGGTATTTATATATATGTTTAATGGGCCTGATATTATCACAAACGGTATTATTTTTGGGCCCTAAATTAAAATAATTAATTTAATATATATCCACGTGTAATATTTTAATAAGTGAGGCCAAAATTTGGTATCAACAATAAGCCCCCCACTTTAGGACATGTTTTGAATAGAATTGTTCTGAAGTCGAGTGTATAATCAATTTTGGCCGTAATAAATAATGTATCGATGTTGGCCGGGTAATTTGAGACCCATGGAGCCAATGACGTGGATAGTAAATTTTTCTGGAATTTTGAATGGGACCTGGATGGCCTAGTCGGGCAATTTGATACCCGCCTTTCGCGTTTTTTGCGTGGAACGCGAAACGTTTGATGTGATAATAATGATATGGAATTATGTGGGTACTCGGGCCCCCAGAATTGTTACCGGATTCGCGATTTTATTGAGACAGCGCGATTTTTTGTTGTGATTGGTTTCTTTGTAATGTGGACCTGGTCGGATAATTCAGTATCCGGTCTTCGTTCTTTTAATTTTTATGTAATTATTTATTGGTCGGGTAATGTGTTCCCGATCTTTGATGTAATGTGTAGGGCGTTAGCCTTGCCAAACCAACTTCAGGGTTTGAAAAAGATTGTTTTTTTTTTTGTTTTTTCTACCGAGCTGATGAACTCGGTGTAAAATTTTTATTTTTCCCAGCCGGAAAGGTCTTATTGACTTTGTCTAACCAGTGTGGGTCCTTGAGGAATTTAATGATCCCCGCAGATAAGGTTTTACAGTGCGCCTCACCAGCGTGGGTCCTTAAGGATTTTTCCTTGCCAAACCAACTTCAGGGTTTGGAAAAGAATTTTTTGGCTTGACTTTTTATGTTTATGTCAAGATGCATGTATGAGGCGCGTATGAATGTATGTATAAATGTATGAATATATGATGAGTACGTGCAATAAATGATTAATGCACGAAAAATGATGTTACCTCAATATTTTGTCGAGTCTGACTTTGTCTGCCGGTAGGTGTTGTGCCTTACCGAAATATTGTATACGAAGCAACGTCGGTACTTTTTTTGTTTCCAACTAGAATTTTTAGCATTTTATTTATCTCGCTGAATTTTTAAAGGAACGTCGGCACTTTCTGTTTCCGACTAGAATATTCAGCATTTTATTTTCTTCACTGAATTTTTAAAGGAACGTCGGCATTTTCTGTTTCCGACGTGCATTAGCCTCACCAAATCATCTTCAGGACTTGGATGTGTTGGGCTTTTGCCATGCCGACTTTATTTTTTGGGAGTCGGCTGGCCGAATTATTTTTCGAGATTCGGCTTTTTTAACTGTGCCGACTTATATTTTGAGAGTCGGCTAGCCGAATTATTTTTCGAGATTCGACTTTTTTTTACTGTGCCAACTTATATTTTGAGAGTCGGCTAGCTGAATTATTTTTATGTTTATTTTTTATTTTTTATTTTTCCCAGCCGGAAAGGTCTTATTGACTTTGCCTAACCAGTGTGGGCTCAGCCCGAGCACAGGCTCAACGACGAGGTAAGTATAGAAGCCATATCAGTCAGAGCAAGGGCTCGACGATGAGGTATATATTTTTTCCAGCCGGAAAGGTCTTATTGACTTTGCCTAACCAGTGTGGGCTCAGCCGGAGCAGAGGCTCAACGGCGAGGTATATATATATGTCAACTCAGCCGGAGTCGAGGCTCAACGGCGAGAAAATGTAGCTATCAGCTCTGCCGGAGTCGAGGCTCAACGGCGAGTCAATGTATGGACGTCTGCTCTGCCGGAGACGTGACTCACGGCGAGCAAAATATATCGGCGTCACAAATAAATAAGTGACTTGGACTTGAGCGTAGATAAATGAAGTCGGCCCGACTGTCGTCGGTTTAAATAAATGAATTTGGACCCGCTCCTCGTCAATTTGAATAAATGAATTTGGCCCAACTATTGTCGGTTTGAATAAACGGACTCAGCCCCCTTTTCTTCTCTTAATGTTTTTTGTTGTTGGGCCAACTTAGAACAAAGGCCCAATAAAATAACAATTGGAAATCACCTCATCATATCACTCTTCTCGCAAGTTCAGCGACGAAAAATCTAAGGCGCCGACAGATTAGGAGGTCGGTTGTTGAAGGTCCCAACAATTACGAAGTCGGCAACAGTGGTCGAGCTTCGGAGATCGAATAATGGAGGGGCCCCTTTGTTGCGATTTGAAGATTGGACACGACGAGCCCGGGTGCGATTTGAAAATCGGAGGCTACGAGGTCGGTTCCGGCAACAAATCCGAGATCTGGCGGCAAATCAGAGGTGAATACATCAGTTCGGTCAGTACGGTTACCGAGCTCCGATGACTTGAAGTCAGGGACGAGAATAGCCCAATCTGCTATTTGTTGATGACGGGGTCAACCGTAAAATTGAGGATGCCGAGGTCGGTTCTTTTGGAAAATCGGACCTCGGGGGCTACTATGAGGTCGGTATGATTTAGTCGGTTGACCGTGATGAAGTCAGTCGACCGTGGCAAAGTCGAATCTCGGCGGGGTAGTTTAAGGTCGGTGGCGGGATATCCAAACTCGGCCCCAGTTACTGAAATTGAGGATGTTGGAAACGTTTCGGGGTATTTCAGGGCGTTTCTAGGTCGGGTCTTGACGAACCCGAGTTGCAACTTTGGCCGTCCGACAATGGCGAGGTCGGTTTTCCGAGTTTGGCCCCGTCAGTCTCTGGTGAAGTTTGAACTCGGTCCCACGACTGTGGGTGTGTGTTGGAATCTTGTCGGCGGTCAGAGGTTGGAGATGCCGATGTCCCGACTATGCGATGTCGGTTTGTAGAGGGCCCCGATGACGTGTTGATGTCGGTGAAGACATCGGCTATTGAACCCTAAATGGAAGTCGGGTTCAACGTTTTTGATAAGGCCAAAAGCGATGACAGAGGCGACGTGGCCAATTATTAGTCAAGCTTATCTATCCTTTTCTTCTCTCAGCTTCTGCAACTCTATTCTTCTCTCTTTTTCCTTTTTTTTTGTCGTTTTATGTTACGGGAAGATAGGAACCAAAGAATTTGGAGAGATAAGAACAAACTCAGAGGCGGTGGAAATACTGGGTACAGAAGCAAAACAGCACACAACAAAAGTGTTTCTGCGTTTTTGCTATTTCTTTGTTGTTTTGTTTTTTNGAGAAGCTTATGCAAGGTATCAACATGGCTTTATTGTATCCAAAAGAAAGGAACATTCTCGATGCCATTTTTTCTCCAGATCAAGAAAAATTTGCAGAACAAAGGTATTACCATTCATGAACATAGTCATGAAGAACATAGAGAATATGGAGAAATCAGAGTAGATGAAGAATAATTTTGCTCAACTTTGATTGATCGTCTGCGAAGCGACCGTTTTCGGGCAAAGGTTAACCCGAGCAAATTACGGGCCCTTCCTCTAGTGCCAAACTGTTGATGCATGAAATTTGATCAACATAGGGGGTTCAGACGAATTTTTGTATATTTATTTGTATTGGATTTTTTGTGATTTTTTTATGAATTTATGTATATAAGTAACGAAGAAGATGAAGCCTGCAACAGGAGGAAGAAGATTTCCTCTGCGGCACCGCCTCAAATCAGAGAAAAAATAATAATAGCGCCCCTCAGACTTATCTCGATGATGTCCATCATCGGGGTATTTATATATATGTTTAATGGGCCCGATATTATCACAAGCGGTATTATTTTTGGGCCCTAAATTAAAATGATTAATTTAATATATATTCACGTGTAATATTTTAATAGACGAGGCAAAAATTTGGTATCTACAAAGCACAAGGAAAATATTTTTTATAATTATAATATTATTGCATGATTACTCAAATTGAATTATAAATAATTATTTAACAATATATAAAGTTGTAATAATAACAATTTGTCTTACTTTATCTTCCATATATATAATTCCTGAATGTTTGATCCTAAGTGGCAGACTCGCACGCTTCGGGATCATATGTGGCAAATTTTTAAGCTTTGTTGTTTGGCTTGGATGAATTTTAATTTATTTCTAATCCAAAATTAACTAGGCTTGAAATATCCATAAATATAGTGGATATTTAGTCTTTTTAAGAGCATCAATTATGTTTTAATATCATTTCATACTGTAGACGTTGTTTATAAAGTAGAACTTTTTTTCCATTCTTTCTTTCTTCCTCATA